CCAAGTGTGTCAAGGACCTCAACATAAATCCAAATACACTAAAATCCCATGGAAGAAGAAATGGGAAATAGCTTTAAATGCGTTGGTACAGGAGAAAACGTCCTGAACAGAATACCAATGGCTCAGGCTCTAAGACCAACAATTGATACACAGAACCTCATCAAAAGGCAAAGCTTCTGTAAGGCAAAGGGACATGTCAATAGGACAAAATGGCACCTGTCTTAGAGTTTTAGTTCTGTGAACAGACACTATGACCAAAGCAACTCTTATAAGGACAGGATTTAATTGGAGCTGGCTTACGGTTTTGAGGTTCAGTTCATTATCATCAAGATGGGACCATGTCAGTGTCCAGACAAGCATGGTGCAGGAGAAGCTGAGAGTTCTATATATTCATCTGAAGGCTGCTAGCAGAATATTGCTTCCAAGCAGCTAGGATGAGAGTCTTAAAACCCACACCCATACTGACACACCTACTCCAACAGGGCCACACCTTCCAATAATGCCACTTCCTGGGCCGGGCATATACATATCATCATAGCACCCAAAAGACTGGTAAAGGATTTTCATCAACCTTCCATCTGACAAAGGGCTAATATCCAAAATTTACAAAGAACTCAAGAGGGCAGACAAAAACAACCTAAATAACTCAATTAAAAAATGGGATACAGAGCTAAACAGAGAATTCTCAACAGAGGAATCTTGAATGGCCAAAAAGTCCTTAAAGAGATGTTCAAATTCCTTAGTCATTAGGAAAATGCAAATCAAAACAACTTTGAGCTTCCATCTTACAACCATCAGAATTGCTAAGACCAATACCGCAAAAGATAGCACATGCTGGCAAGAATGTGGAGCAAAGGGAATACTCTTCCATTGCTAGTTTGGAAGTGAAAACTTGTAAAAACCACCTTTGAAGTCAATTTAGTGGTTTCTCAGAAAATTTGGACTAGTTCTATCTTAAGACCCAGCTATTTCACCCCTGGGCATATACCCAAAAGATACTCCACCATCCAGCATAGATAATTGCTCAATGATGTCCATAGCAGTTTTATTCATAATAGCCAGAAACTAGAAACATCCTAGATGTCCCTCAACTAAAGAATGGATAAAGAAAATGTGCTACATCTATACTTCGGAATATTCCTCAGCTATTAAAAACAAAGAAATCATGAATTTTTACTGTTAAGTAGATATTAGCCATAACATGCAGGATACCCATGCTACATTCCACAGACCCAAAGAAGCTAAACAAAAAGGAAGGCACAAGTGAGGATGCTTGAATCTCTCTTAGAAGGGTAAGTAAAGTAGAGGCAGATGGAGGGAAGGAACTGGGTTAGAGAGAAGTTGAGGAGGGAATTCAGGGGAGGTTCTGGATCAGATGTGGGGAGGGTTAGTAGAGATGGCTAAATGGCCATGAGAATGAATAGAAATCTTTAACGGACAGGGGTGGGGAGTGTGGCAAAAATTTCCCTGCCAAATCTATTTGCAGTGAGAGGCCTATGATTGGATAGGGAAAAGGGTGGCATAGCTAATGGAGGCAGAGACAAGAAGTCATGGAAAAACTGGTGGGGGGGGCTAGGTGGGTGGCATGTCATGAAAGGCAAAGGAGATGGAAGCTGATGTTAATGAGCTTGGCTTTAACCAGCTTTTGGCAGAGATAATATGGAAAGGTTAGGAGAGATTGGATAACTTGACTAATCTGCCATCTCGTGATTTGAGTATTTGCTGATTGGTTCATTTGCTTGGTTAATTTTTATCTTTAGTGTTTTACTTTATTGGGTTACTTGTAGGTGTGTCCACTAACAACTGGGTGGTTATGGCTGTGAAGGAACTAGTGACTCCAGGGACAAGCAAACCAGAGCTGGGAACAGAGCTGGTCACTTCGGGGGGTGTGGGTGTGGGTGTGGGTGGGGAGTGGCTAGAGACAGAGGTGGCAGAACCTGAGAGGTGCCAGCAGTAGTGTGGGAACATGGCTGCAGCCAGCTGGAATCCTTCTTTTCTAATACCTCCCTCTACAGGCAATGCCCTAAAGAATTCACTAAATATTTAAGATTATTAACTTGAGTTAGAGTTCTATTTTTTTTTTAAGTGAGTAACTGAGTAATGCTGGGATGAGTCACATGACTCAAGCACTGGAACTTTGAAACAAACAAACTGCTAGCAGCTTCCAGGTCCCCTACTATTGGGAGCCACAACTTGCTTTTGCTAGGAAAAGAATGAAGTTGCCTGCTTTTTAGTGCAGAGGGATTTAATTGGGTCAGTGGACCCACCTACAAGGGATTTAAATTGGGATTATTTGTGTTTTGGATAGAATTATAAAGAGTTTTGTTCCAAACCTCGACGTGGGCATCTCCAAGATGTTTTAGATTCCTGGGATAAGGAAGACACCCAAGAATCATTGGGAGTGTCCTTAGCAGTGACTCACAACATTGAGGATACGGCATCTGAAAAGGCCACCTCCTGTAGCCAGGTAGTAGCTCCAATGGAGCAATAAGGCCACCACCCCACCCACAAAACTTTCTACCCAAAATATATCCTGTCTACAAGAAACACAAGGACTGGGAGTGGAACAGAGACTGAGGAAATGGCTAACAAATAACTGGACCAACTTGAGACCCATCTCATGGACAAACACTAATCCCTGACACTAATTAGTGGTACTCTATTATGCTTGCACACAGGAATCTAACATGGTTGTCCTATGAGAGGTTCCACACAGCAGCTGACTCAGACAGACACAGACACCAATAGCCAAACACTGGATGGAGCTTGTCGATCCTTATGGAAGAATAGGATTTCAGGCCCAGAGAGAATAGAAACTCCACAAGAAGACCAAAAGAGTCAACAAAACTTGGACCCTTGGGATTCTTAGAGACTGAACCATCAACCCAAGAATATACATGACTGGACTTAGGCCTTCTTGCACATATGTAGCAGATATATAGCATGACCTTCATGTGGGTCCAGAAAAACTGGAATGTGTGTGAGAAATGGCTATCTCAAAAGTTGTGATATGTTGTTCTAGCTGGGCTGCCTTGTCTGGCCTCAGTGGGAGAGAATGTAACTAGCCTCGCAGAGACCTGAAGTACCATGGTAGGGGGATAATCAGGAGAGCTTCACCTGCTCAGAGAAGGGAAGAGGGTTAGGGGAAGAATTGTGGGAGGAGGTGACACGGAGGGGGGCAATAAGTGAAAATAAGTAAAGAGAATAAACAACCAAACAACCCACAAAAAACAGAACACACCCATAATGTCAGTGACAACTAGACATATCTCCACATATAATGTCTAAAACCCAGTGTAAGAAGAAAAGTATTTCTTTGATCAAATGCCACAGTAACAAATAAAAGTTTGGTTTCTGTCCAAAAGGGGTGGGAGAACTTATTGTATAGGACTCCATTTGCCCAAGAATTTAAGGCCAACAATAGACAATCGGGACTTCACAAAATTAAAAAGCTTGAGCATAGCTAAAGAAACAATCAGGTTGGTAAAGGGAAGCCCTCAGAAATAGAGGGCAAATTTGGCACCTATATATCTGACAGAGGATTAATATAGAGAATATATTTTACAGACAAAATCATCCTATCTTTGTTATTATACCAAAACCAGGTTATGGCACTATAGAAAATAAAAATAAAGATCAAGTCTTTTGATGAGCAGACATGCAAAAATTCTCTACCAAGTACTTGCAAACTGAATTCAGGCATGTCTTAAGATCATACATTATGACCAAGTGGCTTTCCTTGGTCAAAGGCAAGGTTGGTTCAACATATGTAAACCAATAAATATAATACATAATATGAATAACTTGAAGGTAGAAAATACAGAATTTCTTTTGTTTAGTCTTAAAATCTTTATTTTCTTTTATAATTTTTTATTAACCATTCCATTCATTTACAATTAATTTTAATCGCTGAAATGACATTTGGCAGAGTTCAGTGTGACATCTGTATGAATAAACATCCTCTAGATACCAGGAATATATCAAGCATGCCTCAGAACAATAAAGGATAAAGACAGAAAACCTAGAGCCAACATGAAGTTAAATGGAAACAAACTGCTAGTGTTTCCTTTACAATCCGTCACAAGAGAAAGAGCCCTACTCTGCCTTCTCTTATTCAATATATTTGACAAAGCCTTAGCTATAGCAATTGGGCAAGTGGAAGTCTTTAAATAAAAGAAACTGGGAAAGGAAACTGTCAAATCATTTCTATTACAGATGCCGTCTATTAGGCAACTCATAGGTCTGATCAGCACCTAAAATAGAGACTCGGGATTTAAAGTCAATATAAAAACCATTAGCCTTCATACATGGCAACACTGTATCCTCATGAAAAAAAAGTTCCATTCGTAATAGCTATAAAAAAGTAAGTACCTAGGCATACATCTAACCAAAGAGATGAAATAGCTGTACACTGACAGTGGTTATTTCAGAGGCTTCCTTAATAGAGCTGTGTGATGTTTTAATTTTTTGAGATCATTATGATAAAATAATTTTATAATTAAATAAAATAGTTTTAAGAACTCTACCTAGGTTACGAGCAATGATGTCGATTTTCTTTTGGACATGAAATGACCTGGATTCTTTTTCACAATCACACTGAGTGCTTTTCCGTTGAGAAGAGATTTAAGTGCCGGGGGTAATATGTAGTGTTCGTATTCTCAAAGAAACTAATGTGCAACAAGAACCATTGGATGAAAGCTTCAAGCTGCATCTAAAATCAAAACTTGTTTTAGCACTAGAATAATACAGTGTATAAAAATATAATGTATACATTCTGAGAAGTTTTAAAAACTATCTTTAAAACAAAGGTGCCTGGAGCAAATTGAATTCCTACCTAGATCTTTGTTTGCTTCTTTCTTCCTTTTTTTCCCTTTTTTCCTATTTGTGAAGGAGAGTGACCTGAAGAGATAGTTAATGATCATTGAACTGAAAAAAATGCTGAGAGGCTTTAAAGTGGGACTCTCAGAGCAGGTACAGGTGGGACATGCCACACTCGCTGTAGAAGCCTGAGTCCAGGTAAGATGCTTTGTGACTATTTTGATCATTTCTTCAGTGTTTCTTCTCAATACAGAGGAAATATATGGGAGTGCTCATGGTACCTGGCCTGAAATGGCATAAGTTGTATGGCTTGAATCTTCTGTACAGATCTCAGAACCTGTTACCAATCCCTTGAGGCAACAGTTGTGGCTCAGGTTTACACATTCCCAAATTATAGTAAGTAGTGGATAATTTTAAATAGGGTTTGAAAACAATTACCAGTTCTGTTTAAACAAATTAATCTTCTAGTCTGGGACAATGAGCCATGGGTTACCACCTTAACATTCACTATGGAGAATTATTTTACCAACCACACAGAATGAATAATTGTCAATTCTCTCTCTCTCTCTCTCTCTCTCTCTCTCTCTCTCTCTCTCCCCCCTCTCTCTCTCCCCCCTCTCTCTCCCTCTAACTTCCTCTGACCTGATCAACATGTGTTGTCAAGTTACATGATAAATAGGAATAGGCAGGGCTTCACATTCTCTGAGTGGACTCTGCTCTCTCTTAGATGCCATCTTCTGTGTGACTCAGATGAAGGGAATGTGAAGAGTTTTACTGATGGCTTTATCTCCAATTAAGATTTTAAAATTATGACTATCATAGCTGCCAGCACAAGGGGATCCCCAAGAATGCTGCTTTTCTTCTCCCCTTTGCAAAGCTGATAAGAACATTGTTATTGTCAAAGTAAGATGGGGATCCAGAGTCCCCAACTCCTAATGACAGGTGTAGGTGTGTCCTGTTTCCCTTTTCCACCTTGGGTCCTTGAGCAGATGGCTCCTTGTTTATGTTGCATTCCTGTGACCCATGAATAATAAATGCAGACACATAGAAGCAGAGTCTGGCACTGCTTCCATGCCATCTATCTGAGAAGACTGCATTCTCCTCAGGGAAGATTGGTATTGTACATTCAGATGTCTGCGGTCATCTGAAAACATTCTTTGTTTGAAATTATCTTTTAAATCATTTAGAACCAAAAAACCCAACACATTCAGATAAAAATACATCCCATACCTCCAAATAAAGCTTCAAGTTCCAAAGTACAGAAATATTTTATCATATAATTAAAATCCAGACTGATCTTCTCACCTCCAGGTTATTCATATCAACTTAATGTCTGTGAGAAACAGGGAGCAACAAGTTGTCTTTCCAAACTTTTGTTGCTTATCCTCCCTACAAGGTTAGAAGTATACACAGTTATCTAGTCTGAGAACAGAGGGAAATACAGAATGTGATGTTTGACTGATACATTTACTCCATGAATATGAGACCTGGAATGATTGTTTTGATGGAAGTAAAGACAATATTGAAAAGAGATGCTTGGGGGAAGATGCAAAACCTTGAGCTGAGGAATACTTCAGGTTAAGAAGAAACGTCCAAAGGGTGGATAGTTTTCTTCTTGAAATAGGACTCTATGTGTAGAGGGCTCTCTGTGAGTGAGTTGAAAATGAAACTTTAAACAAGAGCTGGCTTTAGACTGTGAAGACACCAAATGGAGACTATAAATTGCATTTTGTATGGTATAGGGAACCCTGAAAGATTCTAATGCCAGGTAGATTGTACATGGGAAGGCAGGCAAGGATTGAGAATAAAAAGTTAATCCATTGAAGAATGGGAAGGTTGAGACAGGTGTCCTCAGGAGTTTCAGAATATATATGAAAGTTAGGTGTAAAGCATTAAAAAAAGAAAGACAGTCTACTACATAAGCCATTTCTACTTGAGATTACTTGGTAAAAACTATTTCCTAATGTTTAATACTGAACAAAGATATGCATGAGAAATTGTTGTTATACTTATACTTATTACAATCTCAACACAACATATGATTGATTCTTGGCTCCTGCCCCTACCCGGGAGCTGAAAGGAAGTGGGTGGGTACTAGATTGGCAGAAACTTGTGAAGAAAATGGAATGAGTGGAGTTTATTTATTTATTTATACACAGGGATCATTTTTGTGGTCTACATATTTTTATATTTATTCACATATTTATGAGTGATGATACTTCAATATTTTGTTGATTCATATGTATTTGTAGAATTATATAATTGTCACACATACACAAATACATTGCTTTTTTTCCACATAGATTCTTATAGTCAAAGTGGCCTAGAACTTTTTATACATTGCTAATCCTGGCCTTCAGTTGCCAAACCTACTCCTCTTCCTCACAACTGCTGGGATGACAGTCATATAACACCAAGTATAGCAATAACCATGTGTTATATAACACTGTGGCAGCAATAGATTTCAAAATGCATAGTGGTAAGGATTTCACTCAATGGAAAACCTGCATGCACAGGACATGAAATCATTCCATAGAACCCATATTTTAAAAATACCTTGGTGTGATGGTATGTGCTTATATTCCCAGAACTTCCTGGATGAAACAGGTAGATCCCTGGGACTCTCTGGCCAGCTATCCTAGTTTACTAAGTGAGTTTCAGGCTGCTAAAAGTCTCCATTTAAAAACAACAACAACAACAACAACAACAAACATCAGTTGAGATTGTCCTCTGACTTCACATGCACTCGTGTATGCACAAACAAACATACTTCACACAAACACACACACATACATGCTGACACAAACCCACACACTCAAACATATGCACCTGCACACACACATGCATCTGCATATACTTGAATAGGGACACAAACACATACATACACCCACATGAATAAGCATGCACTTGCACATAGAAGACCATGCACACACATACAAACATACACCAGAAAAAAGATAAAATCATGGCTAATGTACACAGTCATCCCTCATTATTCATAGATTGACCTTAAACAAGCTTCTTATTCATGACACCAAGGCTGCTGGTGCTTTGTGGCTGATGGCCAGCATAGGCCAAAAGCCAGAAAGCTTGGATTGTCAGTGGAGGGCATAGGTAGGTTAATAGTTAAGGTTATAGGAGGTGTCAACATGTGATCTGCTCTCAGTTGTTTTGTAAATAGTCTGCACTTTTGTGGCCTTTTTTGGTTACCAAGTTCACTCCTTAAAATATGGCAAAATTCAATGCAGGATTGTTCATACAAAAGTACCTGATTAAGACCAAAACTATTTCTGTGTTTGTGTGTGTGTGTGTGTGTGTGAGAGAGAGAGACAGAGAGAGAGAGAGAGAGAGAGAGAGAGAGAGAGAGAGAGAGAGAGGAGAGTTTGAGTATAACTGTTAAATAACTTCCAGGCTGACTTGACCTAGCATTTTATACTCTATTCCTTCTATGTTAAAGATGTGAACATATATTCAGTAAAGTACTTTTCAACAGAAATATATATGAAACATTACATTAGTTGGTTAAACTGTTGTGGCAGAAAGTGGCCAGGAATCTGCACTGCCACATCCTCTAAAATTGGTGTTTAAAAGTTTACTAATTCTACATTCTAATCAAATTTACAGATTGTCATTAGTATAAATGATAGCTATTAACTGAACATTTACTATCTAAGGAAACATACTGTATAGTAGGCAAATCTACTAGTCAAGTTTATGTTTCTCTGTGTCTATAGATAATTTCGATGACTCAGATCTACCCATCTGTGAAGTCTTCTTATACAGTAATTGTTGTAAGTCATATAATGTTTTCTCTGTTTGAGTACTTGCTATATGTAAAGCCCATTTTGGAACTTTATAAAATTCTAAAGAAAATTTAATGCACAATTTTCTTTCTTAGGCCATATAACCTAGACATGCAGAGTGATATCAGAATCATATTTTCTATAATTTAATTCTTTTGTTCATTTCAAATATAAATAAATCTTATTTAACTTACTGATTTTACATTTCCTTTAATAAATTTACCAATTTCAATTTAAAAGTCTCCCTGAGGTTAGGGCAATGTGTTTTATTTCTCAATTTTGTGAACAGCATTTACCTAGTTCACTTCTTGAGAACTAAGCCCTTAATAAATATCAGTGACAGAAGGGTTGGGGTTGACATTATGGCTTTTCTTGTTCCTAAGTTATATTGTTAACATAAAATGAATGGCACCTTTTCTCCCAGTGTAGGTGGTCATTTCAAAGGAAGTGTTTATCGACAGTGATTGCAGACATTCCCATCACAACTACTGTTCAATCATGGACCAAACTCAGCATTCAAGCAAAGCTGCAGAGGCCCAAGCTTCAAAACCAGAGAATACAAGGCTCTGCGATGGATTCAGGGTAGGATGAGTGTCAAATTTCCACACTAAAATTAGTAAAGAGGGAATTCAGTTAATTAAAAGAGCAATATGTTTCAGATTAGAATTTTCACTGAAGTATGAAACTTTCATAACATCATTATATCTTGATTTAAGTGTTTTAAAATTTGGGTAAAGTTTTTCTTTTGTGGTATTTCAGGTGTTTGAATATTTATTGACATTGGAAAATTAGAAATATTTTGATATCTGCTCTGATTGTTGATGGTCCAAGAGATAACTGTTAAATGTTAAATAAATGATTTATGTGCTATGTAAAATATTCTTGGAAGCAAACTAAAAATCTAGACTAGCATCTAAAAGTCAATTTATAATCTCAAACTGTTGAATTATTCTTTCCTTAATATTTCCTTAGTTATTCTTAAAATTGTGATAACAAAAGAACATAGTCTGATGAGAGAGAAATTGTCATTAATAAAAAGACATGACAGAAAGACATAGTCAAAAACAGTACAGTTCTTTCCTTTTTTTTCTTGTCTGAAAATGCAATAATATTACCCTTTGTTCTGTCATAAAACTTATGGGTAAGTGATGGCCTAGGTGACTCCACACACAGGAAAAATGACAAGAGTGACATGAAGAGGCCAAGTCAATAAAGTTTAGACAACCTGATCCAAATCATCTTTCTTATAAAAGAAAAACACTTGTACCCAAGATAAAGCCTAAACATCTTGTGATGGACAAGACATCATTTGTGATTTTCTTTTCCTAGCACTTTAAATTCTTTACCTAGAATGAAGACAGTACAGCTAATATTCAGTGGCAAGATTGTTGTAATAAAAACAGTCCATTTTAACTTTATCCAAAAAACATAAATTACGTTTGTTTTGAGTGACTTCTGGCAAATCTGTTCTGGTGAAATATCTGAATAATGTTTAAGTGGAAGGGAAGTTTAGGAAAAGTACTGGTCAACACAGTGCAATGACAATATATCTCTGGGATATTATGCTGTGTTACAACATATCTCTGGGCTATTATGCTGTATTACAATGCATCTCTAGGATAGCATGCTGAGTTACAATGTATCTCTGGGACATTATGCTGAATAATGGTAATTTCATTTCCATGCATTATTATGAAAAGATATCTTTTGCAGAACTTCTGGAGAACAGAACCAGAGTAGGTGATAAATATGCAAAGCACGTTATCTAATCAAAAAGAGAAAACACTAGTAATAATGACTAACACATATTGTATACTTAATGCATAAGTATACAGGTTCTACTCTACTGTTTTATTTCTGCTAATGGACTTGATCCTTTGAACAATTTCATCAGCCAGATATTATTATCTCTATTTTATAGATAATGAAAGAAGCCTTATATGCACCCAGAGAAGATGGGTCTTCTTAAATCTTGTTAACTTGGTTTTCTATTGCTGTTCTAAAGACCATGATAAAAAAAATTTGGGGAAGAAAAGATTTATTTCATTTTACACTTCTAGGTTAGTCTAGCACTGAGGCAGAATTTAGCAGGGCAAGAACCTGTAGTTACAACTGAAGCAGAGCCCATGGAAAAGTGTTACTGGCTTGTTCCCCATGGCTGACACTAAGTCAATCATTAATCAAGAGAATGTCATATAAACTTTCTTATAAGCAATCTTACAGAAACACCTTCTCAAATGAGGTTTCTCTTTCTAGTAACTCTTTTACTTGTGCCTAGTTGAACAAACAAACAAACAAACAAACAAAACAAACAACAACAACAAAAACCGCAAGCCATCTCTAGTCTCAAAGCTTGTAATTGGCATGTTAGTTACTGTTCTCCTGCTGTGAATAGACACTATGACCAAGGCAACTCTTATTTTAAAAAAAATCATTTAATTGAAAGCTTGCTTCCAGTTTATAAAGTTAGTCCATGGTCACCATAACAGGAAGCAGATGGGCACAACACTGTAGTAGGACCTGAAAGCTTTACACGTATCAGGTAGAGAGAAAAACAGACACACAGACACACAGAGGCATAGACACACAGGCAGACAGACAGACAGACAGACACACACACACACGGAGGGAGAGACTTTTTAAATATCAGAACCCACTCCTAGTGACATATCTAATCCAACAAGGCCACACCTACTCCAGTTAGGCTACACCTCCTAATCTTTCCCAAACAGAAGTACTGACTGGGATCCAAGCACTCAAATATATGAGACTATGAGGAACATTCTCATCTAAACCACCAGAGTTGGGGAGCAAAGGGTAGCCTGAGCCAGTCTTATTCTAGAGCCCATATTCTCAACTCTGTCCTATATTATAAAAGTAACTGGATTTATATAATATTAATAAGTAAAACATCCTATGAAAAGTAAGACTTTATTATTGGACAATATACTGTTGTTTTATCCATGTATCTAAAAAATTATCTTCATAGCAAATCACTCAGCATGAATCACTCCTCAGGTTTCACACAAGCCTATGCAGACAACCCACAGTCATGACTGTTTCTGTGGCAAAAATAACTCCTGAGGAACCGAACAGTGACCCACAGTGGTGGGGTGGGGGGCGGGTGGCTGGTGGCGGAAACTGGAGGCTTTGCAGGTCAGCGGGTCTCACAAACATGAGAAAGGGGTCTCGGGAGGAATCCGTGGACTGAGCAGTGGGTCCCAATGACTCGAGGAGGTCTGGAGTTCCAAGAAGTTTATTGTTCATGGTGTAATAGTTGGATCTAGATGTACACCCCCGGTAAAAGCCAGGGGGTGCTGGCTTAAATAAGGAGGGGGAAAGAGGAGGGACTGGGGAGGAATAACATAATTGAGTCATGCCCCCGGCCTTTAGATAACTCATGAATATGGAAATCTCTTGAGACTGAAGCCTGTTAGTCACGCCCTCTCTAGCCAAAGGTGACTGCAAGGTGCAGATCAAATGGAGATCACACCATATGTCAGGAGCCTGGATTCTGGGAGTGTGGCAGAACAGATGCTCGTCCCTCATAGGAAATGGACACCTATTGGGTCTCCAGGCTATTTCCAGCCAGAGTCTCAACCAAAACCAGCCATCCTATGAAGGTCCCACATGTATCCAAAGATCTAGTGGATACAAATGTCTAGGAATGAAGTGTATAATGAAGTCACACAGTAATGTGCTTTGAATCATACTGATGACATACTTTTGTAAATCTTTGCCTTGAGCTAACTAGGTTTCAGAGAGCTTACTACTTGCTGTATCTGCTTCTGAGATTTGTATATGTCTGTACTATAATAGGCATTCTTTAATAGTACAAAAATATTGTATTATCACCTCAAAACAAAATAAGAGAAAGATGAAACTCTCCCATTCTGACTTTGTTGCAAACTTCATTTCTAGAGTAGTGTGAGTGAAGAACAAAAATATTGTCCATATTCTTTCCACAGCATGTATAAAGTCTTACCTCCCTTAAACACCCATTTAGAAAGAAGAGTAGTACTTCTTTAAAAAAACACTGATGCATACATGTCGACTACTGAAAGTTGCTAGTTGACATTTGTGTTCCCTATAGAGAAGTAAGCCTTCTTTAAAATTAAACACATATATAATGATGTGAATAATTCTTTGTATTTAAAAATTCTATTTGCTCTGCCACATTATCCATTTTCCCAAACCATGGCAATCAGTAATCCTCCTATTACCTACAGTTACACTTTTACAGAATGTCATACGATTGAATTCAGCCTTATCAGAGTGGCTATTGTCAATGAACCTGGCTTGAGCTTGGGTCCTTTGGAGCATTAAAAAAATGATTTTTATAGCATATTTATTTATGGTAATTAATATCAGTCTGCTGATATTCCATTTAGTTATATGTGTATTAATAAACATCACAGTTGCTTTTTTCATATTAGAAATTATAAATAACATTGCTGTACACAACTCATCTGGGCACAAAGTTTTGTGTAGATACAAATTTTAATACCCTTGACCAAATACCAGAATGTAATTCTATGGTGAGAATATTTTATGAGAAATTGTTTAGCCATCCTCTAAAGTAGCTGTACTGATCACTGTAATGTGATGTTATTCTCAGCAAGACATGGGTCTACTTATTCCAGATAACCAACATGTCAAAGTACAGATATTATCAAAGTCTTACCTGATGAACCATGAGTTTTAGTGAGGTTGCTTACAGGAATACAGGTGAGAATTTACAGGAGGAGAAGGCAGCTGTGCCACCAGAAACCACGTCAGCATGGGAGCTGGGAACATGGAGCAAACCTCACATCCTGAAGGCAGCTCAACTTGTTAGAGAATAAACTTTCCTGGTAGTTCAGTGGGTCTCAGCCTCTTCCAGGTTGCTTAGCTACTCTCTGTTTCTATCAGCCTTCTCAGTTCATCTGAATGTGTCTCTCAGTTTTTAATATTCAAAGATGATTCATGAAGAAGATGCCTAAAGAATCTGGTCAGTTTTGGGGGACCCCCTCAAGTCCCAGCATTGTTTACTACCCGAGCTTAATGATTTTTCCTGCAAGACAGAATGCTTGTGGTTTTACTTTCTTTTTGATATTCTGTCCTAAAATATCTCATAGTTTCATCATTCTTTAATATCCTATGTCTTAATGAGCAAAGGATTATACGCTGGGATAGAAGGTTTTAATCGCCGAGGAAACTGGCCAGTGACAATCATCACCACCAGCAATTTTGGCTCGAGCTATATATGCAAGGGAGGATGGTCCTGTCAGGTGTAGGTGGGAGAGGAGATCCTTGGTCCCACGAAGGCTAGAAGCCATGTGGGAGGGAATTCTAGGGTGGGGAGGTGGGAGTGGGGGGATAGGTGGGGGCACATCCTCATAGAAGCAGGAGGAGGGTGGATGGGATAGGGGGTTTCTGGGTCGGAGGGGGGAATGGGGAAAGGGGAAAACATCTGAAATGTAAATAAAATATCCAATAAAAATAAAAATAAAAGATAAAAAAGAATAGCCCTTGGTATTCATCCTAAGTCATATTTTCTTTCTCAGCAGTCTATATTTTGACAGTTGGAATAATTTAATCCC